ACGACTACACAAAAGGCCACACCATCTTGGTCTTTATATCTTAGAACAAGATTTAGCCTAAAATGACGAAATCATTGCCCTATGAATGACTACAACATGAAACTTGAGGCATAACGCAAGTCCCAATGAGTACTAATAACTTTTCAATAACGAGTTTTCTTGACTCATTAGCTTGAATATAGTTGTAACGGTGATACCTTGCTCTGATGATGTTCGTCATATGACGGACAAAAGCTTAGCACCTATTCACCGGAATGGAAAAGATTACCTCAGAAGCAGCATCAACATGAATGTTCCAGTAAAGCCAATCGACAGCTGGTCAAGAGGAATACGCCGTCGTCTTCTAGTGGAACCGACCTTCGAATCTCTTCACCAAACACTTTCACTCGAAATGGAAGTAAGCTCACTCTAATACCAATTTATAGTAATAATAAATTGAAAATACTATAAGTAGACCTTAAATAAAAATTGTACTCAACCCATCTCTGATAGTTGAATCCGCTTATGCAACATAAAGGCACTATAGTTCTTAATAACGATCTAATGATAATCTTAAGACCTAGTTGATTCTGATTACAAATAAAGGTTCTCATGATTAGCACGTCCACCCTGTGAACCACTAGCAGCTGCGACTGTATGGCGTAGGCGTTACGTGTCGCCCATTTAAGTGTGCGACTTGTGCTCGATTTCACTTGTGTGTTGGGAGATAAGGCTAAATGAAGTTGAATTGTCGTAAGGCTTACTTCTATAATAATAGGAAAGTTTGAATATAACATGGTGGTGGTTCATGACCTTATTCTACCTAGGATAACTATAGGACATATTGCAAGATAAGTTAATCTCATTAAATGCACTATTCCTATGCTTGGAATGAGTATATTTAGATACATATATGTAAATACAGGCAAAGATAAGAGTGGATAGGAAAAATCTTGTACATTTTAGAATTAATGAATGCATTTGCCTCTTCCCATACCAAACTTTCCCTCTGAAACGAATACCCGAACCGCGCAGCTCATCCAAACACCAATGACAACTGGGAAAGCCAAAGGGCTTTATCACCAAAACTAATCAGTGCAAGCATCAATAATCAACTGAACAATACACGAATCTTGCCTGCATAGATGTGTGGCAAGCAAGATCAAAAAAGCAAAAAAGGATGTAATGCAGTTTTGATGACCTGGAAGAAATGGAGCTCTATTAAAAAGGATAAACCTGCTTTCGAGAATTCTATTGGTATATCAGAGCTGGCTTAATTTTAATTTAGAGTGAAATAATGTGAGGAAAAAATTCTTAGGTCAATTTTAACACAATAAAATGGCCAACCATCATTTGATTTGATTAGGACGTTCAGGTTGATGTAGTCTTCAGGATACCTACCCCAGTCTAAAGTAAAAATCTGATGATTCTTAGTTTGTCATAAGACGGAAGTTACCTGAAACTGAACGACAGCAGTCAAGACAAAAGATAACGTCTTTTGGTGATATTAAAATCGTACGATTCCACTCTAAGTGAAAATAATAAAAAAAGCGAGAGAAACTGTGTTCAAATTAATTTCGAGACTTTTAGTGGATAGTGAAGAAAAGCTCTGGTCACCCCGGGTAGCCTATATTGACAAAAGGGTAGTCAATTTTTTACAATGAAATGAGTAGGATTTACGACACAAATTAGTGTCACTTAGCTTTCCTTATCAAAAGGTATTTTTCTCCAGGGCAGACTGCAGTTTCTACCACGTCTAGGTTTTATTATTACCCCCAGCTGAAATCGAACTTAAACAGCGTAGCGTATAACCTCGACGTTCTAATAAAGCAGCAAACGGTCGAGAATACCGATCGGTCACAAGGTAGAAGAGAATTTTGGAGCAAACTAGACATCTCCAGCATCACATTTTATAGTTAGATTCTGCACAAGCAAACATGTATTTTTAATTACAGTCGAATAAAATAGGTTTGATTTGGTAAAGAACCTCGGAAATATGTGAATTGTTTAACTGATGCTGTACACAAGTGCTTATCAGGAAACTGGGAGGACTGGATAATTTCCTGAAGGACCAAACATCGGCAAATATACAAACGTAGCGTATATTTAGAGCCCATCAGTACATCTTGGTCAATAAAGATATGCACAGTTGTCAGACTCATCTGGGGAGACAAATTAAATTGGTGAAGCGTAAATTTATCTAAGTTCCATATTTGTTTTTTTAACCCAAATTTTTACTGTAAAACAAAATTTCTCTTGACAAATTGTGTATAAGAATTGGATAATACTCAAACTTTAAGTATAGACAGCTTGAAAAACAATCCAATGAAAAGTTAAGTTTCAGTTAACAATGCTCACAGTTTGCTTTGTTCTAAAAACCAAGCATATCAATAGATATGACCGTGTCTAAGAGTTGATGCAATAGATCGGCATAAAGTTAAGAGTTAATTTGGAATAAAACGGGCTTGATAAAATAACAAATGTGATTTTTCGTCGATCAAAGTAAGATGTAATGCAGTAAGCTGAGTCATGGGAATGTAAAGCTGATTGCTATAACAACGAAATAAACGTACTCTAGTACAATAGACAAGCCATAATCGTGCCTGGCTAATGAAAGCAGGGGTGCCAGAGCCGGACCCAGAGTAGTCATTACGCGATCCGAATGTGCAAGGTGAGCTAATAAAAGGCCCACCAGGCGAAGCAACGAACTGCGTGGAAGAACCAAGGCATCGGAGAGCTGCTGCAGCAATAGGTTTTTGTCAATTTGGTCTTCAGACCGAGACAAAGAACTGGAAATGTAATCGATTTTGCGTAGACGGATGCGAGTATCAAGCATTAGGTCAATGCAGGACTAAGGGAAGTTAAATAACAAAATGTTATAAGGCGGTAAAAAGTCAAAGATTAAGCGATTTTAAAGTATGCGCTCAAAGGTAATTTTTGCTTCTAAAAATAGACATCGCAAATACCAAAAAAATAAGGTGAAACAGAGTTTGCATTTGTTATTTAAGCTGATAAAATAGATCAAGGTGATCAAAGCAAAGCTAATTAAAAAAAGTACTTTCGGATGAATAAAGCGATTATTAGTGACATTTCGATTATCTCTATCAGAGTGGGCGCAGAAATTTGAAATTGTATTTTTCTTGTATAGCGCGATAAAAATGATATCAAGACCCAAATAGTGTGGCCTTCAGTATTTTTGCAATCTTCTTTCGGTAAATAGAAGTGGGTTAGTCTCGTTTTCTCAGCTTGGTCGTATTGTTAGGACAACTTAGTTGAACGCACGTTGTCCGAAGACCTCATGAGAATACACTAACTTCAGGGTCCGACGCCGGGAATTGTGATAACCACTATTGCTGGACTTCGTACAAGGCGAGTCTAACTAACGAAGAAAAGTTGGGTTTCGAGGAATCTCTTGTTCCATAATTGTTGGGCTTACTTCTATTTCGAGTAGAAGTGCCAACACTTCGAAGGCTCTCATTTTGGCTAATAATTACATGTCAAGAATGGAGGAATACTTTATGGAAGAGGTAAGATTGACGCCCAAACTTTTAGTTAGATATATGGATAACTACTTTGCTATATGGCAACATTGCAAGGATAGTTTAGATAATTTCTTGTGTTTTATTAACCAGTTTGATTGCAATATAAAGTTGACAATGGA